AGATTTAAAAAAAAAAAAAAAAACAATCTTTGAGAAAGTTCAGATAAATTCATGGATTTTTTTTTGTAATCCCAGTGCTTGGGAGGCTGAACATGGGTAGATCACTATGAGTCCGATCTATGTAGTGAGACCCTGTACTAAAATACAAAAAAAGTAAAAGATGTACAAAGTATATTCTCATAATTGTGATGTAAGAAAAATTTCCACCCCTTCCTACAGAAAATACATAACCATCTACCAATAACAGACTCAAGCTACAGAGTTCTCAAGCTGTGCTTTAACAAACCAAGAGGTATATTCGCAATATTAAATTTATTTTATTAAAACTTGTGAATAATTTGTTGTTTTTTTTTGGCGGAACCGGGGATTGAACTCAGATCCCTGCGTTTGCCAGTCAAGCACTTAGCCTACCGAGCCATCTCCCCGGCCCCAATAATTTGTTTTATAAATAAAAATTTTAAATTTCCTGTTAAGAGTACTTTTTTATTTTTTTATTTTTATTTTTTTTTTAACATTTATTTATTTATTTAGTGTGTGTGTGTGTGTGTGTGTGTGTGGCCAGCTCAGCCCACCAGGGGGCGGGGCTGGCTGGCATGTGGTGCTGGGGGATTGAACTGTGGTCCTTGTGCTCTGCCAAGCTTGTTCCAAGTAGGTGCTTTAGACCACTGAGCCATCTCACCAGCCCCTTAAGAGTACTTTTTCTTATACTTCTTCTAAGCTTGCTTACTTGCTTGCCTTTTTTGTTGTTGTTGGTCTTTTTGAGACTGGGTCTCATGTGGTTCAGGCTGGTTTTGAACTCATTTTGTAGCCCAGGCTGGCCTCAAACTCACAATGATCCTCCTGCCTCAGTCTCCCCAGTGCTGGGATTATAGGCATGCCCCACCATACCTGGCAAGCTTTCTTTCTTTTTCCTTTTTTTTCAGGGAGGAGGTACCAAGAATTAAACTCAGAACCTTGTGCTTGCCAGGCAGGTACTGTGCCACTGAGCTATATCCCCAGCCCCACACTTTCTGATAAAAGAAAATTTTTTTTAATTCCAAGAAGACAATGAACAGAACCACAGGCATACTGTCAGGGTTATGAGGAATGTGACTATTATTCATGTGTGTCACAGAAGGAAAAAAAGGATTTCAACAGCTGGTGTAGCTGGTGTGGTGGCACATAACAATAATCCCAGCCCTGGAAGTTGAGGTTACTAGGAATACTGGCAAAGGAGGCCAGTCTAGACTATACAGTGAGGTCAAGGTTAGCCTAAGCTACTTAGTGAGACTCTGTCTCAAAACAAAACAAAATCAGGGCCAGGGAGATAGCTCAGTGGCATAAGTGCTTCCCTGGCAAGTGCAAGAGTCTGAGTTCAATCCCCTGTTCTGCCAAAAAAAAAAAAAAAATCACCCAGCTGATTTGGACATTGGTTTGATTTAACAGGATATAGCATTTGTTATGGCTAGTAAGAAAAAGTAGAATTAACACCAGTCTTCAAGTTTAGGTGACAACTAATACCAGAATGCTTCCTCTGATTTAATGTGTTAAGATTTCAAGGGATATACATTATATGTTAATTAAAAGCAGAATTTTAAAGCTCACAAGAGAAAAAGATTTGATAAAGTGAGTTAAGATTTTTTTCTCCTGGTAAAAATGAAAACTGTACAATCATTCTTTGTGTCAGTCTTAATGTAAGGCATTAAGTGGTGAAAAAATAAGAGACTCAATCCCCGGTTCCGCAAAAATAAAAAAATAAAAAAAAAAAAAGAGTCTATTTTATAGCTATATAGATCAGATTGGCACTTGGGAAAGTTAGTTTACAAATTCAGTTTTGCCACTAAGCATAGAACTTAGGGTTCTGTGGGTTCCCTGGGTCTTATTCATCTATAAAATGGGCACAGGTGACCTAGATGACCTCCAAGGTCCCTTTAGATTCTAAAGTGCTGTAATTTAAGAAAACAAATAAACAAAAAAAACCTCTGAAATGTTTATTGAGGTGTTTTCTGCTCATGGCATTCTTGGGACAGAGAAGTATGTTCCATTCTAAACCCACACATTTTAGGACCACCTTGTTTAAGAAATTTCCAAATTGGGCATGATGGCACATGCCTATAATCCCAGCACTTGGGAGGCTGAGGCAAGAGGATCACTGTGACTTCGAGGCCAGCCTGAACTACACAGGAAGGAAAAAACAAAATTCCAAAGAGAGGCATTTAGATTTCTATGCCTATGCCCAGTACACACAAAAAGGGGAGAGGAGAACTGTAGCCCAGACTGACAATAGCTAGTGATGTTCACACAAGTCTAAAAGCTTAAGCTAGGAAGCAAGCCCTCTCATTAGATAACATTCTTACCTCATCTGTCCCTACCCGATAAAGCCCTTAAATTTCAGCTGAGATGGTCACATCACATCCATTTTCCCCTTCCTGTCTGTTCTGGTCCCTCCATCTAGAAGGGCAGGGAAGGAAGAGTTATCAGTATCCATTGTTTCTTTCAAGACCAAGCCCTGTCTTTTATGTTTGTATGTGTATTTCTGTAGGATTTAACCCAAGGTCTTGGACATGCTAATCAAGGGCTCTACAACAAGCTACATCGTCAGCCCTGTCTTTGTTTTATCAGCATGAAAATAGGAATTTCTACAATCCTATAATACCACCACTTACTTAGGGTCCCTTGCTTGTTCACAGATGTTCCTCATTCTCCATAATTGAACTCTACACATACTGCACTGAGAGCACACTGAATAAATGTTTATCTGTTTTATAAGTGGAGTGGGATCTAGTATGGTAATACTAATGATTGAGGCCCCTTCTAACTTTTTGCCAGTCCCAAACTCTTCCTTCCCCTCCATTTTCTTGCCTGTGTGCAATCCACTATCTTCAAGGTTAATGTAAGGGCTGATTCTGGTCATGAAAAGATAACACAGTTTGTTCTTTTGGTTTCATATTTTTTCAGTTCATTTCCATAAAAACATAATATAAAAGGCAATGCCACCATCTTCCCCTCCTGGGGGTCATCCATCAAGACAGTTTGGGCTGCTCCAATGGTTCACAGCTCATCATGAGATATGTGCAGGGCATGGTCACATAGATCTGCAAATAGTACACAATAATTTAAAGCAAAACACCACTCTCACACTGATATATACCACTATCAAGAAATACCCCAGGGCCGGGGAGATGGCTCAGTGGAACAAGCGCTTCCCTGGCAAGCACAAGGGCCTGAGTTCAATCCCCGGTTCCACAAAAAAAAAAAAAAAAAAAAGAAATACCCCAAATCAAACTGACACATACAGCTAGTACTTTTAAGTCATAGAGTCACCACCATTTTCAAAGCATATACATAATACAAAATAGCCCTACTGTTTCTCACCTGTTTTTGGTCCACAAATTCTAAAAAGCTGACAGGAAGATAATGAACAATACTCCAAGTTGGAAGGAAAACGGAAGCCAATTTGAATTAATTTCAGAGCATTTTTGGGAGTGAGAAATATGCCAGGTTCTACAAGGCTGTGAGAACAGGAAGTAAAAGTTTGAGTAGCTTACCTGTTCGTTTACTGCAAAGTTTGTCTTTAACATTGTCAGCCTCTCGAGAAAAGAATTCAATAAGTTCATCCTCGTATTCCTCCACGATACTCTCACACTACCAACCCAAGGGAGAAATGTGTGACATTGGGTAGCAAGAACAAACCTCTGGAGGTCCCCCACCCCAGAGACAGTGACACTGAACCAGCCCTCTTCTTGGGCTATCCAACCACCTCCCTATTTTCCAAAAACCTGCCATCTTTTCCCATAGCTTACCACAAACTTGAGGGTGCCGCTGATATCTGAATCAATTCGGATGCCCTGTAGGTCCAGATCACTAGATTCTCCATTCCGGCTCACGACACGTACATAGTTCTTACGATGGGTAGAAGGGTCAATCTGTTCCCCATACTCCTTCATTCGGTCACATACCTCCTCTAGCAGCTCTGTGAGGTGGGCCTCTGAGCGGGCATAAGGTACCTAGAAATGTCCTCAACCTTGGGTCACTTTCTTCTACCTCATAAATTAGAAATTTATGTCCTTACTTGTCCTTCCAAATCTGGCTCAACCAAACTTTTTTTTTTTTTTTTTTTTTTTTTTTGGGAATCGAACTCAGGCCCTTGTGCTTGCCAGGTAGGCATTATGCTTCTGAGCTGTATCTCCAGTTCCTCTACCGAACTATTTTAAAACGCCTTCTCTAAGAACAGTATGATTTATTTTATAGTTTCAGAGTGTTTTCAAAGACAGATGCTAGGTATGGTGGAATATACCTGTAATACCAACATTTGGCATGCTTAGGCAGGATTGCCACAGGCCTGAAATACACAGCAGGATCCTGCCTCAAAAAAAAAAAAAAAAAAAAAAAAAAAACAAAAAAAGTAACATCAACAAAAAAGGAAAAACCCACCCAAGAAATATAACAGCTATCATTACCTCTAAATTATAGGTAAACAGACCTCAGATTAATTCTAATCAATGCTTCTTTTCCTTTCTCTTTTATTTATTTATTTATTTTTGTCATGAGGGGATGAACCCATGTCCTTGAACATGCTAGACAAATGTTCTACCAGAGTTACATCCTCATCCCTTTTTAGACAGGGTCTCACCAAGGTGCCCAGGCAGACCTCAAATCGAAGATCTTTCTTAGCCTCCCAAGTAGATAGGATTACAGGTGTGTCCCACTATGCCTGGTGAAGACTTTTATTTATTTTTTTAATTCTTTTTTGCATGAAAGTATGCATACCACCATGCTACAATGAAACATGAGTCATATGGATTAGGGATGTGGAGAAGGGGGCTGATCTAAGTTCCCTGTCTCCTAATTCTATATTATAAACAAATACTGGGTTTGGAGTACATGAAAGACTGAGGGAGGAGAATCACTGTGAATTTGAGGCCAGCCTGGGCTACACAGTGAATTCAAGGTCAGCCTGCACTACTTGCAAAACCCTATTTTGAAAAATAATAAGGTCTGGAACTAGGAAGCCAATGTATAGCATGTTAATTTCTAGCCTTTTCCAAATGAGACAGAGCCAAAGCTTTTAGATATCTCCCAGGGTCTGTTTTCTTCATTTCCATTAAATCAAAGTCATTCCTAATTCAAAGTTTTCATTCAAAACTAGAGTGACTTTACTTGGGGGAACAGTAACAGTTACCTCTACTACTGACTGGCTGCCGTCTGGATTGATCCGGAAAGATCCCATCTGAATGGTCTTCTTGGGATCCACCTGGGCAATTTCCCATTCTAGTTCATCCACTAGAGCCCTGCAAGCTGGTGTAAGGAGATAGAATGGGGTGGAGTAAAGGTGGGGGATAGGAGAATACAATCAATCCAGGGATTTCCATTCATCTTTCTCCCAGGCCTTCTTCTGTTTGTGCCTTTACCTCCACAATGTAGATCCTGGCTCCTTCGAGCCCAGACAGTCCCCAGGAGGGCCCCCAGAAGCAGGGCCAGCCAACCCCAGCTTTTCATTTTTTGCGTAATGCGGTTGCTCCACCTGAGTTTATGTGGGAATGAAATACATGTGTGACCTCCGTTTTCTTTGCCCACCCCCACCCCTACCCCCAACGAAACCACCCCACCCACGCCACATCCTGCAGGCCCTCAAAGGCCTCTGAGCAGCTGATTCTACTTTCCAAGAAATGGTCAGGACACAGAGGAGCCTTTCTGTGCCAACGCTTGCGAGTTCCAATTCCCTAGCGGGTGGGGGAAGAGAACCCTGGACGGTGGGACTCTGTACCAGAAACTACGTGGCCAGGTGAGGCCCTGGATGTTGGCACTTCATCACTGGACGCTGAGGGCTCAAAGGGTTATGTAGCAGCTACAAGGTAGCGCTGGCAGTGATGTTAGGAGGCCAGGCCTAAGAGGACTGCCAGTGAAGAGCCTTCAGTCTGGTATGGAGGCCAGCGAGGCCTCTCCAGACAATCTGGGCCCAGCCCACAAGATTCCTGGGTCCCCACCTCCAACCTGTTTGCGGTTGCCTACGTAGACCACCAACCCTCTGCCCAAGGCTCCGCCATAGCTTCCGCTTGGGTCTATCCCACTGCCTCCGCGCCTCGGCGCCTGGGGCTACAGCCGCCCGCGCCTCCCACCTCTGCTCGATCGCAGGGCCTTTGCCCGGGCCCGGCACACGAAGACGTCCACGAAGACGGACTCTCACTTTGGCCTTGGTGGCTCTCAAGTCTAAAAGCTGGCTGCGGGAGAGCAGGGCTGTCTGGGCTTCTCCAAACCAGAGTACTTCGGCACTTCCCAGACTCCAGATGCCCCGGCAGCTACCTAACCCAGGTCCGAACACCTAAACGTAAAGCTCGAAGCGCAGCGGTGCAAACCCCCTCCCGAGATTGACCCCAAATTGGCCCCTCCAAACTCTCGCGAGAACAGGCAGTGAGGATTCCGCCGCTGACCGCGGGACCCAGAGCTGCGTGGCGAATAGATCTACAAGACCAGCCAATCTCCATTGACTGATTTCCTCAAAGGAGACCAAGGCTGTGCGTGGAATATGGGAATGGCTAGGGTGCATGTGCGATAACCAAAAAACCTTCAAAAATAAAGGTGCGCTGCTAGCACGCTAGGAATTTTCTATACACAAGAAACTACATTTCCCAGGAAGCAGCGCGGCAACACTATAATCCCGCAGTAGCCACAGCTCTACAGATAGAGTGGGATTTGTAGTTCCTCGCCGTACCTGATTAGTGAGGAAACCATACCACGGCTACTCATGATTTAAGGTTACTAGACACCTATAGCAAAGACCTAACATTGTCAAGGAAAAACAATTACGTTCATAATTTCAGACTCCACAACTTCATGCTTTTAGGTAGAGTCTTACACATAATTCCCCCCCCCCCCCCCGAAGCGGGGATTGAACTCAGGCCCTTGCGCTTGCCAGGCAAACACTATATTCTACTGAGCTATCGCCCCGGCCCCTAAAAATTTTCCAGTTAGCTGAAGCCACAACAGACAAGAGGAGAACTGATGTTAAGACTTGATCACACCAGCAGTTCTCTAAAGACAGAAAGACAGTAATATTCTTGTTTTTATTTTATAAAACATGCAGTTTAAAACAAAAGTTAAAAAAATAAAACTTGAAATAAGAGAGTGAATGGAAGACAGATGCTTGTCAGCTGCCAAAGGAGTGAAGCCAGCAGTTAAACTTCCTCCAGGACCCACAGTTATTTTGTTTGTGGTTTGTTTGAGGCAGGGTCTAGTCATTAATTGGCCCTGAACTATGTAGCTCAGGCTGACTCTGAACTTGTTGCAATCTTATCTTCCTGCCTCAGCCTCTCAAGAGCTGGGATTACCAAAGTCCCTTTTGGCAAGTGTTGGCAACACTGGTTTGCTTGGGTCACCTAAACTACATGCTGGCCCCTCCAGATATCCCTCAAGCAGTTAAAAGATTTAAGCTAAGTATGGTTCTCATGTTTTTTCCTGTCACTGTCCAAGACTTCAGTCCCTAGCCAGCTAGGAATGAGAGTTTTAATTCTAGGAGGTTCTTTGCTTGGGTATTAATTACCCAGCTTATTTATAAAGAACACTAATTACTTTCCATCTGGGTCCATTCTAGACTCTTTCTGGCCCACTGTTTTTGCAAAGGATAAAGAAGAAATCTGGCTCCTAGAACCTTTGCAACAATTTAGCTGCATTCCAGTTCTATGAATAGCACCACTGTAGACCCTGAGCAGGTCCAATTCTGGAAGTGAACAAGGTAAAGCCAACTTGTGAAGCAATCTCCTAGTTCTGGGACAACACAACACTGAGAAGAGAGGGCAGGTCAGAGCGCCAGCACTGAGGAGAAGACAGCTGCATCTGTCAGAGACAAAAGAGCACAATTCAAGGTGAATAGGGGGGAAAAACAAAAAACAACAACAACAAAAAAACCCTTGGGCTTTTGTTTCTTTTGGTTTTCTGAGACAGGATCTTGTTATGTAGTTCAGACTAGCTTTGAACTTACTATGTAGCCAAGGCTGGCCTCAAACTCACTGCAATCCCCCCTGCCTGAGCCTCCTGAGTGCTGAGACTATAGGAGTACACCACCATGCCTGGCTGGAATATTTCTTATGAAGGAAAAATGCAAAATAAAAATGCACAGACCTTGCCCAAATATTTTAGAATTAGCAACACAAAATTATGGACCAATAATATCTATTTCACTAACTGTAGTGTTAAGTGCTTCACAAAGATAAGGTAGGGGCAGCACCGTTATTTGTGTGGTATTTATAATCTCCATGCAATCAAAATCTGGTCCAGTTTCCATTGTCCCATCCAGGCCTTACTCTTTTTTTTTTTTTTTGCGGAACCGGGGATTGAACTCAGGGCCTTGCACTTGCCAGGGAAGCACTTGTTCTACTGAGCCATCTCCCCAGCCCAGGCCTTACTCTTTTTATTTTTGTTTTGTTTTCTGGTACCAGGAATCGAACTCAGGACCTTGCGCTTGCCAGGCAAGCACTTATTCCACTGAGCTATCTCCCCAGACTCAGGACTTACTCTTTGGACTTGTCTGGCTCTCAGGCTCAGGCACCTTCCAGTCCATTTTTCGTCCCTTCTCATAAAGAGCTTTGAGTACTTTGTGAAAGGACTCAGGCTCGGTACCATTCTTGCTTAATTCCAGATACTTTCGGTAGAGCTGAAGGGCTGTGCGGGCATCTTCAATACTATCATGGGTCTCCCCTTGAATTTTCAGGTCTAGGGTAAGTAGAGATGCAATAGTTTAGGACCTAGGAAACGAAGGCAAGAACATGTACCACTACTTCCACCCTGACTGCCAGAAAATTATTTTTAAAAGCATGCTCTTAAGGTGAGGAGTCAAACACCTTCCCTAATGCACAGAAAGGGATACGACTGTTGTTTTTTTGCTTTGAACTAAGTAGCCCATGCTGGCCTTACCACCACACCTGGCTAAAAAGGGATTCTGAAACAAATTGTTACCACTAACTCAGGGCCTATCCTACTCTCCCTTGGTCCTCCAACATGTTTGAAACTTTTTTTTTTTTTTTTTTTTTTTTAAGAGAGGGTCTTTCTTAACTGTTGCCCAGGCTGACTTTAAATTTCTAATCCTCCTGACTCAGCCTCCCAAGTAGTTGGGATTACTGGTGCATACTATCAAATACAGCTATTATTCTCTACACTTACTGTTTACCAGAGGCCTAAAAGGCAGAGCAGCTCACCCAGAAAATACCAAGCAAGGAATCGCAAGGAAATCATTCGTTTTCGGGGCATATGAAACAGGTAGACAGTGTCAAGGACTTGGTCCTTGGGCACCTGGCAAGAATAAAAGGGTGGGAGACTTAGGTAGGGAATACATAATTTTCCATTTCCAAAAATGCTACATACACCTTGATGGCCCCACCCTCAAAAGTGACTCTTAAAAGAGTGTAGCCCGAACCATGAGGTTGATGACCCGGAAATCCTTCTGCAGGCCATGACCCACAAACTTGACTCCAATATCAATGAGAAAACGAAGCTTTAAGTAGGTAGATTTAAGGGTTGTGAGGTGCTTGGAGGAAATTTTGGCATCGAGGTCTCCTGGCTTTATCCCCGAGTACTGAGTCAAGTAATCCACCACCTAGGAAGAGAAAAGGCCGAATCATTCAGGCTGTGAGATACAGTCTCCCACTACTTGTCCCTGGGTTCTCCATCACTGTATGTAAGCACAGGGTTTAACTCACTGGCATCTCCATATTTTAATACCTGCTCCTGGGTAGAGATGTAGTCATCAATGAAGGGGATACCCTCATTGGGCCCCTGACCCCGAACACAGGTGATCCTTGCTACCGACATCTGGCTTGGTTTAATGGTAGACTTAGTGCCATCACTGCGTAACTCTGCTTCTTCCTATACGACAAGAATTAGTCAGAGACATGCTTATAACTCCTAATACCTTCAGAGAACTACTGCAACATCCCATCCTTTTGTTCTTGGTTACCTCATTAAGCGTGACAAATTCAGCATCAAGGCCTACCAGGTCCCCAATCTGTGGCATCTCACTTAGCATGAGTGGAATAAAGGTAGTATGTGTTTTCCGCTGCTTCCGTGCCAGTGAGGCTTCAGCCAGCAACACACTAGCCTCAATAGGATTCTTGACTGCAAGGGAGAATGCAGAAGACAAGGGCCAGGGACTGGGAAGTAACTAGAGGGGAGGACTCACGAAGGCTGGTCAGAGATTCTGGGTCTACTCTGTGATCCCTCAATAATCAAAGCATCTGAGTAAAAGACATTTGGTGAACAGAACAGATAGAGCAGATCAAATCAGAGAAATTGCCAAGAGATAATGCCAAGAAAACACTAGAAATAGGACAGAAAAAGAATATGATCTTTACTTTGGACTTTAGAAAATCCAGAAAAATAAGTCACAAATTATACTTTAGAGGTGTCAAAGAGATAAAGAGCTCATTTCCAAAATAAGAGCTCTTCACTTGGGATAATAATAGATGAACTCAACATCATAATTTAAACATTTAGATTGAATGCCTCTTCTCACCCTTTCTCTACTCCATCCGCAGGATTTTCAGGTTCTAAATTTAGAGTCTAAGAGGCAGACATTGCTTTAATATTCCTAGAAAGATTAGCCAATTACCAATCCTGAGTACTAACAAGCTATTTCTCAGATCTCCTTTTGAAGCTTAAACTGCCCCACCCTTAAGTCTGCTTTATACCACTTACTATTGAGGTTGTATCTGGAATTGAGATTCCTCTTCACATAATAAAGGATAGCAGGTACTTTCCAATTCATGTCAAACTGTACTGCCTCATGCTAGAGAAAAGCAAGGGGCTAGATGTGTAGTTCAGTGGGAGAGTGCTTGTCTAGCATACATAAGAACCTGGGTTCAATCCCTAGCAGTGCTAAGGAAAGAAAAAGCACCGATAGTCTATAAATGTATGTCCCTTTTCCCATTCCCCAAGTCACACTGAGGCCAGGCCTCAGGTGCTATTTTTTTTTTTTTTTTTTTTTTTTTTTTTTTTTTTTTTTTGTGAGTGTGTGTGTGTGTGTGTGTGTGTGTGTGTGTGGCCAGCTCAGCCCACCAAGGGGTGGGGCTGGCTGGCATGTGGAGCTGGGAGATTGAACCGCGGTCCCTGTGCTTTGCTTTGCTTAGCTTGTTCTAAGTAGGTGCTTTAGACCACTGAGCCATCTCACCAGCCCCCTCAGGTGCTATTTTTAACTTTGCTAACATCTTTTATTCTAGACAGTCCCTCCCTCTTGAATATGCATGGCAATCTATAGGGCCCTGAGGATGAAGACACTAGCAAAGGGGGCATAAAATGGTGAACAAAACATACTGCAACTCACTTTATCAATAGGCTCAATAAGGAAGTCATTGAAGAGGTACCACTGTTGGTGAGTGACTCCCTGTGGAGAGACAGAAAGACTGCTG